TCCAGAGGTCCTGAGTTCAATTCCCAGCAACTACATGGTGGGTCACAACTGTCTGTAATGGGATCCAACACACAATTCTTTTGATGTTTCTGAAGACAGCTACAGTGTACTCATATACATAAGATAGATAAATAATTCATTAAAAAACCCTAGGGGGTCTTGTCCAACCAAGAAGACCCTCAGACATCAACCAACTAGACCCCTGGTAAATTGCAGCCAAGCTTCAGGACCGTGGGTGACACTCTCAGCCTCCCAGGTTCATGGATTACAAGAGCTAAGGAAATAGAGTGCTAGGCAAAGCAGCAAGCACCAGAGGGCGCATCTGAGTCCAGTCCTCCTCAGTAAAACTGGCTGCAGAAATGGGACTGGGGAGCAGTCAGGGATCCCCAGCCCTGAAACAGGGGGGCAGCAAGGACGGAATACGAGGGCCTCACAGGGTCTCACTTCGGTCTGGGCAGACCAAGGGCAAGCGGGACTGATCCGGACTGCCAAGTCATGCCAACCCAGCAGACACGGCATCATCTCCCAGCCCATCTAAGGTACAGGTTAGCTGACAGCCATGGGATGTGACTGCTGGTCTCCTGGGGCTTGGTCCCATAGATGTAGTTATCATATCTCATGTAGCATAAAATGTTACAAAATGGCTGCACATACTGATGCATATCTGGAGGCATTTAATATATGCTTGTGAGAGTGGCCAGGTTATTATTCTAAAATATTTATAGGCTATTAGACAAAGCCACTATTTTGACATTTCCTCTTTCCTCCTCTTCCTTCTCCTCCTCCTCTTCCTCCTCTTTTCTTCTTCTTCTTCTTTTTTTTTTTGAGACATTATTTTTATGTGTAGATTAAGCTGTCCTGGAACACACTATGTTGATCAGGCTGGATTCAAAATCAGAGGATCTGCCTGCCTCTGCCTTCTTAGCACTGAGATTAAGTGAGCTACCACTACCTAGCCTTTTCATTTTAGAGTACTTATTCTGGATTTTGTAGGCAGAGTTTCCCAAAGTATATTTAAGGCTTAAACATTTCTTAAAAGTGTTGTATAGTTCATTTTGAATTTTCAGGTCCAACACAAATAGGTTTCTATACTACAGAGCTTCTCAAGATCCCACGGACCCCAAGAGGAAGCATGCAGGCTGTGTTTATCAAGCTGACTGTGAGCACTTTGTGGAAAGGCTTTCATGACTACCATGCCCAGGGCTGGGAAGGATGATGCTGAAAGCCAGCTCTCTATCTACTGGGTGCTTCTTCTGGTTTAGGGCAGTTGGATTGAGGGGAAGCCTAGGAACTCGTCTCATTGCTGTCAGGAAGCACCATTGTGCACCGAATATCTTGGAACCCTAGGAAACGCAGTAGAAATGTGAAGAACCTGCATTCTTCTTCCAGAGCCATGGCTTGCCTGTGGGAAGGTTATTCGACCATCTTCTGACCTCGGACCCCAACTCCAGCCCCAGTGAAGAGAGAGAGAAGCCAAAGCATTTAGGGATGGTATGTGCAAGGAAGGCTGCACTATTTCAGAACCATCCCTTTATCTAGTAAGGTGCCTAATACTTCCTGCACTTTTTATTGTTGTTCAAATAACAAAACACAGATGACTGCACATATATGTGCAATGAAAGTTTATGTGTTGTGAATATTTAGCAAACTCAAGGTAGAAATAGTGTTGACAGAAATCCACGCAGCTCTTCCTTGCTGGTCCTGGAACCCTCAGTCTCCAAGACAGCACAGGATCAGGACCTACAAAAATGCTTGCATTTTTTCTCATCACCACAGCATGGCGCTGTTGACAGCCATTTCTACCAGATTACCCAAGGGCAGGTTCTCTGATCTATTTATGGATATTAGAAGTTGGGAAGGGGGCCAGTACTCCTGGTTTTTTATTTGTTTGGTTGTTTGGTTGTTTGGTTATTGTTGTTGTTGGATGAGGAGTAGGTAGTGATGTGTGTGTGTGTGTGTGTGTGTGTGTGTGTGTGTGTGTGTGTGTACGTGTTTCTAAACTCCGACAAAGGATTTTCTCATCATAGTCTCAGGGATGAGCTCATAATGTTTAGCTCCAAGAAGAACTCCATGCCCCACTACTAGTAAGACATCTTCCCCGGGGTGACCAGAGTTACCTCTCTCAGCATAAGCTAAATACTAGCACTGTAACTTTAATCTGCAGTGTGGCCTTTCTCCAGCAGAAGCTCTAACTTAATAAGATTCTCTGTTAGAACATTCAAGCCTTTCTGATCCCCTGATTGGGTGCCACAGTCACCAGGAAAACTGCCACAGAAGAGGAGGAAGCTGGGCATGATTGATTAGCATTTGTTAGGTCATGATTCCTCACCCCAGGGTCTTGGACAAGTGACTTAACCTTTATGTGTCTCTGTTTTCTCACCTGAAAAACTCATGAGTGAGGACTCAAGAATGTTTAAGAATAGCACTTAGAACAGTGTCTTACACATCATTAGGAATAACAGCTAAAATTATCATTATTTCATGGCAAGTCTGCTGACTGGGGTGAGCTTCTGTTTGAGTCACCTTTCTGAATAATTTTATACAAAAAAACAAAACAACAAAAAACAAATGCCAATGCACGGACTATTTATTTTAAAAATAAGTTCCAACTGTTGAATAAACCATGAGAAGTTGTATTCCTAAAATTGCCATTAATACAAATAAACTTCTGCCCTCTGTCAGATCAAATATAAACAGTCAAGTCTCCATTTCAAAATTTTAAAGACACAGAATTTACTGGCAAACATCTTTATGTGCCCAGCATGGTGTGAGGGACTTTAGCTTTAAAAGAAAAAGCCTTAGCCCTGCCCACAGGGATTCATGTCCTGAGTAAATTCTCAGATACTCAATCTGGACAGCTCAGGCTGGGACCTGGAAACCCTGCCAGAACATCTGGATTCTTGTTCCAAAGGTGACTCTTGTTCTAAGACAAAACTGTCATTGGTGGGAAGCTCCAGGTCTGTTAAGAAGAGCAAGGAGATTGGAATTTTGGTCCTGATCTTTTATACATCAGCTTCCACCCTTGAGCAAGCGTGAGACTCTGAGGCTTTGGATCCTTGTTGGTTTGTTGTTCTCAGTCAGCATGGAGGAGAAAGCTAACTGGGGACAGACTCAAACCTGCAAAAAGACAAAACCAGGAGAGCATAGAGGATATGCAAAAACCTGCAATTGCCACCAACTTCTCGGGCAGGAAGAGGATTGGCTCTTTTCTGCTACATAGACAAGACTGGACCACAGCCGAGGCCTAGGGACGCCCCGTCCTTCTCAGTGCAGGCCGATTACTCACCCATTCAGTAAACTCTGATCATCGTCCTCAAAGAGGAGAATGAAGAACAGAGCTACAAACACTCCAAGGACATTTAAGAACACTGTGAACACACATGGGGACAGGGAACAGGGCCAGAGAGGGAGAACATATAGCTTGAATCTGATAAGCACAGTCAACAAAACCTGGCGGCACTTAAACTCAACACAGACCAATTATTTCCAAAATAACAGCTTTCTAAAACCTGAGAATGGCTACATGTAATTATGCCCCACCCTGCCAAACCCAGTTTTTGGCCTAATCCTCTTTCTTGGTTATTCAGACAGGATTTATGAAGCATCTATTACATACTAGGGACAGGGCTCAGCTTGGGCAGATACAAAGTGAGTTCCAAGATGGTGAAGGCTACACAGAGAAACCCTGTCTCCAAAAGCCAAAGGGGAAAGAAAAATAGAAAAGAAAAGATATAGAAGACACCTTGTAAGGTGCCATAGAAGAGAAAACCAAGAGGTTGTGAGACCCATCTAGACCCATGTGGACAGGGAAGGGTCAGGTGACAGTCTTCCTGGCTGGGAGCTTTGAAATAGGTAACCTCTTAGCGCTTTGTAATCAGGGTTATCTTTCATTCACGAGAGAAAGGCTTGTGTTAACTTGAGATAGCTGCTGCAAGTCCTCCTGTTAGTTCGATCAGCTCCTTTAAACAATGTTACTACTGTGGATCATGTCTCTGTGTTATGGATCTGTGCAGGTGAGCACAGGTGCCCTTGGAAGCAAAGGGCCTCCGGTTCTCTGTAGCTATTGTAAGCATGCAGTTTTGAGCCTCTGGCTGCTGGAAACCCAGTCCTCTGTGAAAAGCAGTACCTGCTCTTAATCACGAAGCCATCTCTTTAGCCACCCCTCCTCCCCTCAGTAGGCTTTCTCCTGGTTTAGATATCAGGCCCTGGAAGGTAGACGTGAGGAGATGATCCCAATTCTCAAAGGAAATATTAGTAGCTGCCGTTATCATTATGGGGTGCTTTGGGGTGTGTTTTTACTCTTTTGGTTGTCATCTTAGGAACTGTAAAGAATGTTTTCTGTCTCTCCAAATATGGAAATTTGACTCAAGGATGCCATCTGACTATTGGGGGGTGAACACAAGATGTGGGCTCAGACCACCAGGTCTCCAAATCCCCATTCTCTTTCCTCCTGATCGTTTCTGGAGATAGGAGTACCACAAAGGTCTTTCCTTAGTGACATGCTGTTCACTCTTCTTCTTTTAGCAAAGTGCTGGGATCTCTTCTGCTGAGCTGACAAGTGCTCTCTGCCTCTGCCCATGTCCCCACAGTTTGGGGATCCTGAAACAAGATCCAGAGAGGAACAAGAACTAGGGGATCTGGTCATGGAGGCTCTCAGCTAGAGCCAGGGGCAGTGCCGGTGCTGGGCTGCAGGAAGAGGCAAGACTTTCAGTCCAGGAGGACTAGGGGAGAGGGAGAAAGTCCTCAGATTGCTCAACACATGGCCCCGCAGGCACCATCACAGCAGGTACCTGTTGAGCCTCTACAAGGCGCTGCACTTGTCCAGAGCTATGACTCACGTTAGGAAGTCCAAGTCAATTCAAAACGGCAAAATGACACATTAGCAACTCGCAGCTCCCCAGAGTGCTAGCGATGTGACTTGTCCCCTTTGTCAGGACATACAGACCCCTTGCAGAGGCCATTTGGAGGGCCTCACTCTGGGTCCAGTTCCACAGGGCACAATGAACAGTAACTTCTGTCGAGCTCTGGTGGACCACGGGTCCCCGGGGGGCATGCAGCTGGGTGTCGTGGCCCCTGCAGGACAGACACCGCTGGCAGCCACCGAATCCTTGAGCAACGTGCCCTTTCTGCTGTACCCGGGCCACTCCGAGGCGCCTTACTATGAAGCCTACACTGGGGTGTTCCCCTATGTGCCCTTCCCGGGCGCCTTCGGGGTTTACGACTACCCGTTCGAGCCCGCCTTCATCCAGAAGCGCAACGAGCGCGAGCGGCAGCGGGTCAAGTGTGTGAACGAGGGCTACGCGCGCCTCCGCGGCCACCTCCCTGGCGCCCTGGCTGAGAAGCGGCTCAGCAAGGTGGAGACACTGCGCGCCGCCATCCGCTACATCAAGTACCTGCAGGAGCTGCTGAGTGCCGCCCCCGACGGCGCGCCACCCACCGCCACCTCCCCGACGCCCGCCCACGTGGGCCACGGTACCGCACCGCAGCCACCCTCCCTGGTGGCCGAGTCCAATGGGTCCTCCTTTTCCTCTTCGCCTTTTTTGGAGTCGGAGGAACCCAGTCTTTGATCTGGCCCTTTGACTTGTCCCTCTAGGAAACAGCTTAGGGGCTTCTGGGTCATCTGTGCCGGACGGGACAGTGGTGTTCCAGGTCCATGATTCCACCTCCACCCACTTGAGCCAGACGTGCGGGCCTGGGGTAGAGATGGCGAGATAGGAATCCCAGGAGGTGATGACTGCGGTGAGGAGCAGAGCCCTGGACAGCTCCTGGACCAGGCTCAGCGCGTCTCTGCTGTCCACCACACCAAGTCCCCTGTAAGGCAGCTGCACTTTGACAATTATGCGCCATGCCTGGGCCTTCCACAAGATGGCCTCAAATACTAGAGAGGAACTTGATGGCCTCTAAAGAGCAGGAATTCTGAGGGAGGGACAAGGGAGGTGAAACCAGGCAGCTGCTTGTGTTCAACACCCTGGAGCTAACAGACTTGGGAGCTGACTGACTTGGGAGGAGGGTGTGCGTTTGAGAGAGAGAGAGAGAGAGAGAGAGAGAGAGAGAGAGAGAGAGAGATCTGGCACCCATTGGCTCACTCTCCTACCCTTCAGCATAGTCTCTTCTGGTCTTTTCCCAAGTTGAGGACTTAATTCCCAAGACTTGTAAGCTTCTAGGATCTATTGACATTGTGTTTACATCAAGGGCTAAATAAAAAGGGATTGTTGAATTTTGTGATTCCTGAATTATTGTCTATGCCTACCCCTTCTCTACCTTGGGATGTTTGCTAGCTCATGCAGTCAGTTAATATTTCCAGAGCTCAGCGTATGCTAAGACTGAATGCTGGAGGGCCAGGGTTCTCGGGAGAGAGCACACAGACCTTGTATAGTGAGGGATCTGAGGGTCAGGGGCCCTGTGAGAGCAGTGTACATTCAAGATTGCCTGGAGCCTTTCCCACTAGCGTGAGAGCGGCTGTGTATCTGACAGGAGAAGCCATAGGCATGGCAAGTGTGAGAGGGGTCCTGGTCAAATCCTGACAGACACTGAGACTGGCATGAGTGGAGATATGCTGAGCTAGGCACCACGCAACACATTCTCTGGACAGGGCCATGGAGCTGGGGTGGGGAGAAACTTAATCTCCATACGAAGGACCTGTCCGAAGTTTGTGGCTCCACTCCACAGGCTTCTCTCCCTAAACCCCATTGTCTGAGCTGTGAAGCCTTCCTGCCTCCCCATGCCCCTACCCTACCCCATCTCAAGCCTGGATATAATAAGTTGCCCCTTTACACCCAGTCCTTGCCTCCTTGGGGGCAGATCGGGATGTCACTGGCTGGACTGGAAGGAATGACAGCTGCCTGGCGGCAGGAGCTTGGGCTGGGCAGCAGGGGCTAATTTTACTCGCTGGGAGCAGAGGGAGTAATCCTCCCACCCCCACGCCCGCCCTGTCTGACTGCCTCAGCAGGAGAGGCTCAGTCAGGTCCAGTCCCCAAGGTGGGGGCATTGGGGACCCAGGGAGCAGAGAGCAGTGGGCTAGGGGATAGAGGGAAAGGAGAGGTGTCAGGGAAAGCATGGAGCCGTCCTCACCTCAGGATGAGGGCCTGAGGAAGAAGCAGCCTAAGAAACCTGTTCCTGAGATTCTGCCGAGGCCACCCCGGGCCTTGTTCTGCTTGACTCTCCAGAACCCCCTGAGGAAGGCCTGCATCAGCATCGTGGAATGGAAGTATCCTTTTTAGCACCAGAGCAAGAAGGAGCAGGGAGGGTGTGGGAGGCAGGAATGAGGGGTACAGGGTAGATACAAAGCTTGGACTTTTAGCACCAGGGTGACCTAGGTTCTTGGAAAGGAGTGAACCTACCCCAGACCAGCATAAGGAACCTCTGTGAAAGCAGGAAGGGAGGATTCCACCACAATGGAAAGGAGCTTCTCAGAGCCTGAGGAGAACACTTGGGTCATAGGTGGCAACCATTGAGCTGTTGAGCATCTTGGGGAGGGCCTGTGTTCATAGGAGCCTTTCTAAGTGTGTTCAGGTCTCTGTCATCATGGGGGTACCACCCAAGGTTTTGAATAAGAAGATGAAGGACACAGCAGCTCCTGAGGAAATCCTCCACAGAGGGAGGATGGAGAAAGCTGGACAGTCCAGGAACAGCCTCCACTGGCTCAAGTCCCAGTTACAAATGGAACTGGAAAAGTGGATTTGAGGGAAGACCTGCTCTTATTGGCTCCAGGATGCTGGCGAGCAAACGTGGATGTTTTAGCTCAGAAGTAGCGCCCTCAATCTCTCTTTGGGTTTGTTCTGGAAATAACAATGAAAATATCTGGGTTATTTGGGGGGAAAGGAGGGGCTGCAGAGAGGAGGCCTGTGTTGAGTGGGTTCTGAGAGAGTCAGAAATATTTGAAATATTTTTGACATGCCCTGGAAGAATGAGATTTCATCAGCTGTTCCTTGGGAAAAGGGAGACCGGGGAGTAGCTGGAAGGTTAAGGGAGCCATGGAGCTATGGAGAGACAGCAGGTCTGGGGTCAGGCCCGATCCTCCTTGCTACACTGTGCCAGGCCCCAATACCTCCAGCTCACTTCCTCCTTGCCGTCTCCAGCGAGAGCCGGAACCTCCCCCTGGCAGGGTCCCCCTTTTCTCTACTCTACTCTCTTGAGCCCACTCCTCTTACAGATCTATTCCATGCCAACCCTGCCCCTTGTCTCTCTTCAAATGCTGAAGCTTCTGGGAAGCAAATGGGGTTTTTATCCAAATCTATCTACATATCATGCCTTTCGTTCCCCACCACACCCATACACCAAGGACTCTGTCTGGCTTTCCCATTTCACATTTGCTTTCTAAATGACCAGTCAGTCCAGCACGCCCTCTGGAACTGGCCACTGGGAGTGGGGGAGCAGATGTATCTGGGAGTGCAAGCCTGCACACATGAGTGCATGCACATAGCTCTGAAATCTGGCTTTCCTCTCCACTTTCCCCCTTTCCCAGTCCTATTCAGCTTGAACGCAAGCAATCTTCAGCACCCCCCGCCGAGCCATTTTGGGGTACAAGCCCCCACAAATCACTGTGTGGCCTGACTGTCTCTTAGCACTATAGTGATCATCCAGACTAGCCTTTAGGAGTTTCTTGCCCTCAACCCCACAAATCCCACAGGTCGTACAAGGATTCTCCTTAACTCTGGTTCCAGACCCTTCGAGACCATCATCTTGCTCACCATCTTTGCCAATTGTGTGGCTCTGGCAGTGTATCTTCCCATGCCCGAGGATGACAACAACACTTTGAACCTTGGCCTGGTAAGAAAGCCTTCCCACCTTTTCTCTTGAGTTCTGCAGCTCCAGCCTGGAAGTCACCTTGCACTTGGGAGGTGGGAGATGCTGTCATGGCTCCCTCACAAGGCAGACTGATGCTGCGCTACTAAGTGGCCCCGAAGCTTATCAGACCAAACATAGTCAGCCCAATTCCATGATACCTGTCAGACAACATTCACAATGCCAAGCACCCGCCAGGCGCAAACTTATGGAGCTTTCCCAGGAACTCCCAGAAGTAGTACCAAGACAGATGTGGAAGCTGGGCCACAGCAGGGTGAGCCAGGGATGCTGAGCACCAACCTCCTTCTCTGGATAGCATCCGGAAGGCTGCCTACACTGAGCTGCTAGGGGCATATGATACAGAACTCTGCAGAAAGGGCATTGCAGGCCTACAGTGTCACTCTCTCCTGCCCCTCCACCAACAACACAGCAAATTCTGCAGTGAGTGGTTGTCATCTTTGAGTTATTGAATCTTTACAGTGATCTCCATGGTATGATATTAGGTCTCTGAAAAGAGATAGATAGATAGATAGATAGATAGATAGATAGATAGATAGATAGAAATAAAACCCCACTTGGAACTCTTGAGGTTTGGAGTCTAGGTACATCATGCAGGATAGCACCTACATAACCTTCCAACAGGGCCGCATACCCTGGTCTTATTGTCTTTGCAACTTGCTCTTATACATATTTTTAAAATATTTTTATTTATACATGTGTGACTTTGAGTGGGTACTCATAATGTCCTCAGAGGCTAGAAGATGCACAGACACATACAGACACAGACACAGACACAGACACAGACACACACACACACACACACACACAGACACACACACACACACACACACACACGCACCAGGACAGGACAATGGAATCCCATTCTCCAGTGCCTTTCTCTGCGCTGAAATCATAGAGTTTGGAGAGACGAGGCCCATCTGCATATATCCAGGACCAGAGTGTGTATCTCTGCCTCTTCTCAGCCTGGTTTCCATGGCAATCTATTCTGAACTGGGGAGACGCTGAGTGCTAAATGTGTGCTTGCTGGGAATGGAAATAACCAAGTTCCTGGAATGGAAGGGGAGTGGGACTCAACGAAGGCAGGGCCAGCGCTGCTTCTGCTGCCAGAGATGCTGCTGAGATGTTACTGTGTGCAACTGGGGCCTTCTGCAAAAGAAGCTCAAGTACCCTTGCTCATGGATTTGGGGAGAATTCTTGGTCCACTTTGTGCTTCATGACTTCAAATTTTGATTCCATGTGCACTTTAAGCAACTGAATGCTTTTGGTAGTGTGTGCTTATGATCCTAGCACTGGGAAGGTGCAGACGGAAGGATTCCCAGGGCTCACTGGGCAGCTTTCCCAGCTGAACCAGTGAACTCTTGTTGCTACTGAGAGACTGTAGCTCAAAAAACAAGGTGGACAGCTCCCAGGTTGCCCTCTGGCCTCCACATGCTTGTACACACGTACACACATGCATATGCACACATGTATACCTACACACACATGAATGTGTACATACCTACATGGGCACACGTGTGTGCATGAACACACACACAAAGTTGACTATTTTGCAAGAAGCTGCCTGCTTTTAAGGACATCAAATCACACCTTAGTGATTATATGGTCTTCCAACTTGAAAACAAAATGGTTTACTGAATAGTACTGTGGTGTTTCCTTTTATTCTGTGGACTGGAGCTGCAGAGCTTCAGTCAGATCTGGAGCTCAGAGACATACCATAGTGAGTGTCCTAGAAGAGGGCAAGCTGGCCAGCATCGCCTGGCAA